AAACGATTGAAGGAACAAAGCCAGGCAGTAATAACTTGATCAGATGGAGAAATAACCCATCAACTTGTTTCTAGGGAATGTGAAATTTTGCAAAAAAATAATTTTGAAGGATCTGAAATGCAGAAAAAAGATGGAGAAACGAAGAGAATATGATAGGGTCAAAGAGGGAGAAAAGCAGAGAAGCTTCTAAGGAGAGGGAGAGTTCTTAAGAAAATGAAAAATGTTGCATAATAATAAAATATTAATAAGTATGTATTAAAATATTAATAGATATATATTAAATAATGTAATATTAAAGTTTGTTATTGTTTTGATTTTTAATCCGATACTGCATCAAACGCTTCATTAAGCTAGTCCAGCTTAGTCTAGTTTAAGCCAGTCCAGCTTAATCCCTAAAACTAGTCCAGTCCGAGACAGTCCGGTGCAAAAAGCGCACCGTAACAGTGGCTGAAGTGATGACACTCATATATGCATTCAAGCTTGCAAAACAAAAGAATTTTTCTAGAATTTCTATGGAGGTAAGCTCTAAGTTAGTTACAGATGTTGTGGAAAGAAGGTGTGGTGTCCCTTGGAGAATTTGAGACACGATTGGCACGTTCATTGGCTGGTCTCATCCTTACATTATGTGACTTGGAAACATATTTTCGAGAAACAAACTTTATGGTTGATGTTATGACTAATATGGGTTTATCCCTCTTTAATATGCATATTTTGGATATAAGACTCTTCCCTTATGGGCTACTCCTGCTTTTATATTTGATTGTAATCGTACTAGTTCTTCGCGAGGTTTCTCGCGTTAATTGACTACTTTTTGAGCTAAAAAAAAATAAACACCTTTTAGGAAAAACCCAATTATTTGAAAATTTTGATTTACACCCATTGGCCATCTTCATAGGTCAACAAACTTTTCTTATTATTGTCAGATCTTGAACATGATATACCAATATGTTCATCATGAAAGCAACATGTTTTTCTCATTGTATTTCATTTTGATATACCGTGGTATGTACAATTGCTAAAGTCAAAGTCAATTGTGTCCACAATTTTATTCCTTTCATTATTTTGTTCCAAAATCTTTACATTGTAATTGGATGAATAAATTTAAAATTACTAAAAAAATTTAAAATGACAAAAATTTAATGACGTAATTTTATTTTCAGAAATTGAATACGAAATTTGTTATTTTTAAGCTCACATTCATAGAAATTGGGAAATGACATATATTTACATGAAATTTAAACTTTGAAATTGGAGGTTCCAAATTCCAAGTTATTTTTTCACACGAAAATTTTAAATTTCTATATTTACGAATCCAAACAAGAAAATTAGTGCATGTCTCAATTTATAAATTCTAGCTTTTATCTAAAATTCAAATTTATTTTCCTCATCTAAATATAGTGCTAGTGTCTTAATTTTAACGGACACCAAATTTTAACGCTAAATAATTGTGAATCATTAGTTATCAAGAGAACGTAACAAGAAATGGTTATATAAAATTATTTTTTATGGTGAAAAATGTAAGAATAAGATATAGTATCTAATTTTCTGACATGTAAGTCTGGTCCAGATGAACCGGCTATTAAAATGGCCGCAGGGTTTGCTGGTCGATGGAGCCATCCATGTCACTTCCATTATTTGCAGATCATGTCTTCTCTATTTCTCTGACTATTCTGATCTCATTTTAAGAGCAAAGGCCAAAAAGTAGATCTCATTTTACACGCTAAATAAGAAAAGCAAAATAAATAATTCAAAATTTGACAAAAATCATTTTCAACATTTGGGTTAAAACATAAATTTTTAAATTTTAAACCCCTCCCAAAGTTGCTTCAACAACTGGGCCTAAAATAAGTTTTGAGTTAGAACTAGTTTTAGGGCAAATATTGGCCAAGATTTCGGCCTGGGTTAAAGATCCTGGCTAATAATGCGTGTGGAGGCGTCGAGAAAAAGGGAGATCGCGTAGGCATGATGCGCTCAACACGTAGAAACGTGTGAGTGCTGGGCCCATTCTAATGAGTTGTTGGCCACCCATAATAAGCCTAACGACTCAATTTTGATTGGACAACATGCGTTATTAGACTGTTGGTTGATCCAACGGTCCAGATTCAAAATTATCAAATTTTGAATTTAAGTTTATAATTACATTAAATCTAACCACTAAGATCGAGTATGATAAAATCTAATGGTAAAAAAAGAAAAAAAAGACCTAAAGACCCAAAATTAAATCCGACGACTAAAATGGTTTACAAAATTTAATTAAATCAAAGTTCACCTAAAACTTCATAAATACTTATATATTTATTCAAACATCCACACAAAATCACTTGGTCTCATACAATTGTTCTATTTTTTTTTCTTTCTAGCCACTTCCATAACTATTTCTTCCTATTTCTAAATTTTTTAAGATGGCAAGAGATCATATTAGAGGAACTAACTGGTCAAATGATCAAGATGTTCCTTTGTGCTTGGCATGAGTTTGTACTAGTGAAGATGATATCATTGGTACGAATCAAAATAAAAAGGTTTTGCAGGCTAAAATCATTGAGAAGTTCAATTCCAACTCTAACACCAACCCGAGGGAAGTTGGACACCAACCCAAGAGAAGTTTGTAGTGTTTACGATTAGTGGAAAATTATTAACAAAGCGGGCACTTTTTGAAAGGGAAGCTTGGAGAGAGTCTTGGTTGACATGGCTAGTGTAAGGAGCGCCCAAGAAGTGGTGAGTGTCTCCCTTACAAGTTTATTTTTCATGTACACAATCATTTTTGCAACTAATTGGTCGTTATGTATTCCTTGCATAGGGTGACAAAGCAATAGTGATTTACAAGACAAGAACTATGCCCAAATATTAAACTTTTAAGTTGCATCATGCTTGGAACGTCCTTAGGGATTGTCCAAGGTGGGGAACAGATGCGAACCAACAATGGGAAAAAGTATTTGCCAGTGAAGCCTCAAGCATTAATGTTGACAATGAAGGCGACGATTTGGTGACCCCATCTTCTATTTCAAGGCCCCCGGGAAGAGATAAGCAAAAAAAAAGCAAAGAAAAAAGGAAAGATGCAAGATCCAATTGGTACAAGATTCAGTGACCCCATCTTCTTCTAATTAATTAATGACTACATTATTTATTTGGCATGTAATTTAGGACACTTTCCAAATACTTGGATTCGTTTCCTTATTGTTTTTGTAACATCCCACATCGTCCAGGGGAGTGGATCCCTGTAAGCCTTATACGTATATTCTCATCTCTACCTAGCACGAGGCCTTTTGAGAGCTCACTGGCATCGGAGTTCATCGGAACTCCGAAGTTAAGCGAGTTCACGCGAGAGCAATCCCTGGATGGGTGACCCACTGGGAAGTTTTGCTCGTGTGAGTTCCCAGAAACAAAATCGTGAGGGCGTGATCGAGACCCAAAGTGGACAATATCGTGCTACGATGGAGTCGAACCCGGAATGTAGTGGGGGCCCGAGCAAGGATGTGACAGTGTTGGTTTTGCTTAGTTGAAGTTTTGAGTTTCTTTTCAATTGGTACATTTTTAAATTTTAGGCCCTTTTCTTACTTCAATAATTTCATGAAGCTCATGGGGCATCTTATTGGTATTATTGTATCAATTATTAACTTTTGTTGGATGTCAATTTATATAAGCAACAGCTATGAAAAAAGAAATGTAACAGTTATTAGCACCCAAAATAAAACAAAAAGACTATAGAAAGGTGATCGACATTTTTTTTGGAGTGTCGTTAGCAGCTCTGAAAGGAAAAGGCTAAAATTTGGGTTGTAATATGAGTCTAGTATTTTTTTAGCAAGTTCATTTTGCCGATGTCTACTAGTTGTTGATACAAAAGGGATCGTGTGGGCTCATGACATTCTAATGTAACTTTTTTTTCTAGGCTAAGGAAACAAAAAATCGGTTTTGACTTTAGCTTCGACTTTCAATTTTTACCATTTAAAAACTAAAATTGACCACTTATATAGGATTTTTTTTTTTTTTTTTTTTACAAGTGTCTTAACAAAATCAACCCTTTGTTTTCATTTTGAGTCGCCATTTTCTCTCTCGTCTCTCCGATCACCACTATCTCATTTTTCTTCTTCCACTCTCCTATCTTTTAGTTATTTCCTCTATTTTCCCCAAGCTAAAGAAAATCAACTGACCGAGCCAAAATAGAACCAAACTAATTATATTATCTGATTATGTTCTTTTGGTTTAGGATGTAACTAGGCTTAACCAAGACATGCACACCCCTGTTCTTTCGAGTTAATACATTTATAATTAAAAATCATTAACCTCAATGATACGATATGAATTATATATTAATCAATCGACAAAACTAGAAGAAGATAACGTAGACGTGAGAATCAAATTTGAAATAAAATGAAGATGCAGATCATTGAATACAAAATGGTTGAAACATTGTGAAAATGAAACCCTTATCATTTCGCCCCCATGGTTGTAGCATATTCTGAAACTAGAAAAAGAACCAAACAGAGTTCAAAAAAAAAAGAACCAAACAGAGTACGACACTTCAGAGCTTTCAAAGTTCAATTTGGAGAGAAAACACAAGAAATAGAATACAAATGGTTTGTTGAATAAAAAAGACAATAATTGAGATTAATTAATTAATTAATATTAACCCAAAATAATCGAAAAACACACAATTTTTTTTTCTTCGAACGAACGATATTAGCTACATTAAAGGGGCGGGGAGTTGGTTAAATCTCACAATGAATTAGTAATAATATGATTCAAATTCGTTATTGGCGAGAATCCAACCTAAAACCTATCACTTGTAATTGAAAAAAATACCACTAAATCGTAGTACTAAACGGCAATACACACACTATTTTATTTGTCTACTTGTACACATGCCATTACCTGAAAAATGAAGCTGGCCCCCCATCCCAACCGTCCCCTATATTGGCTTGCTTCCAGCCGTCAAGCCGTCAAGCCACGCTCACTCTCTCACCCCACCTCTCCCCCCATATAGTATCTCTCTTAAAAATCTTGCTGGAAGTTGGAACTCTGTGTCAAAGGAAAAACCCGTATTCTCTTTTTCCACTCTCTCTTTATTTCTCAAGAATTGTCTCTGCTTTTTCTCTCTCTAAACTCACACACACTCACACTTCACTTGATGGGAATGAAAGCAAAGGCCCACCACCACCATTACAATGCTAGTGGTGGTGGTGGTGGTGGAGGCAACGGCAGTGAGAGCAGCAGCAGCACCTCACCTAGCCCACCTCCGTCGCCGCGCCGTCACTCTACAGTCCCTCACTGCCGCCGGAAGCTCCGGACAAAACCCATCTCCATCGTCTCCAGTTTTCTTCTCCTCCGCCGATTCCTCCGCTTACTGGTGGTTCTTCCCCTGCTATACGTCTCTGGCCTGCTCATGTGTGTGGGCCCGTTCTCTGGTCTACTGGGTCATACCCCTCTTCCCGGTTCCGTTTACCGAAGTCACGAGATGTTTCAGCTGCTCTGGCCTCACATTCAGGCCGATAATTCCACTCCGATTGAGGTTCGGACTCTTGGGGTTTTCTCATTTTTTATTATTTTCTGTTTGGTTTCCGGGAAAATGCAGGAAAATGGTTCTTCTCCTTCAGCTTTGCCGAGCGAGATAAGTATGAAAAGAAAACGAAATACAATTTTTGGACTTGAGATTTTCACTTCGGAGCTAAAAGACGGAAACTTTACTGAAATAAGACTGTTGTGTTGCGGTTTAAACCTTTCAGATTTCAGATCAAGTAAACAGTAGAATAGTTGCTCAATTTTGCCTTTTTTTCTCGTTTCTTTCCCAGTTTTTGTTTAAAGAACATGTTGTCCAGCGGCAAATTAGAGTCTGGATTTAGTACAGTTCATGGTTTCTGAACGTGGATGTTAAATTTCATAAATCTTTGTTTTGTAAACCCGGGATTGTTCAGTTGGATTGAACTTTGATGTGAATTATGAAAATCAAAATTAGTGTGGAATTTCCAGCGATTAACCTAGACGATGTGTTGTTTGTGGATGTAGTTGTCCTCTGTATGGAGATTCAGAAGGAAGTTGAAAGAGCAGAAGCCTTGCCCACCTTCAGCTTCTGGACTACAATTAGGTATGTGATAGCACAATCTTGTGTTAGATGGCTGCTGCATTTTTGACAAATTGGTAAATTTACTCGTCGAAAATTGAAGGTTTGGTAGTTTTGGAATCAAAGGTCATGAGTCATTTATCTGATAGTATTTTTCTCGGCACATTTTCTAATAGTCTCCGTTGAATTCCAGATTCCCTAGGCCTTACTGGTTACTTGATTGTGGAGGTTAATGGTGGCCTTAACCAACAACGCTCTGCGGTATGTTAATCCTTTATTATTTGTGGGATGCTTCCTGTTATTCTTATTTTACTCAATTTCAGCAGCTGTACATATCTCCTTTTGAGGGCATACAGTTTGTTTGTGTTATTAAATCATGTTTTTTGTTTCACAGATTTGCAATGCTGTGGCCCTTGCTGGTCTTTTGAATGCAGTTTTGGTTATTCCTCACTTTGAATTCCATAACGTTTGGAGGGATCCGAGGTAAAGTAACTATTATTCAAGTCCCGACCCTTAAAAACTTAAATCATATGTGTGTATATCCATGTCTAACCAACTTCAACAAGTTTGGAACCTAAATTAGGTTGTCAGGTTCATGTAATGTCTTGCTCTAAATTAGTTGGTTATTCCTCGCTTTGAATTCCATTAATGTCTTGCTCTAAATTAGTTGGTTATTCCTCGCGTTGAATTCCATAACGTTTGGAGGGATCCGAGGTAAAGTAACATTTATTGAAATCCCGACCCTTAAAAACTTAAATCATATGTGTGTGTATCCATGTCTAACCAACTTCAACAAGTTTGGAACCTAAATTAGGTTGTCAGGTTCATGTAATGTCTTGCTCTAAATGACCAATAACATGTATCAAAAAGCCTGCCAGATGTTTACCTTGAGAGGAAAACTCAGTTTATAGAAAGCATTATGAAAATGCCATCCTTCTAATCTTTCTTCAAATGATTTTTTGAGATACTCTTATTGTGTTTTCAATTGAAATTAAAAAGCAGTATCTTTTGTTTGACAGCACTTTTACTGATATATACGATGAAGATCATTTCATAGCCACCCTTGAAGGCCATGTTAAAGTGGTTAAAGAACTTCCGGAGATGCTGATGGATAAATATGATCACAACATCTCTAACATACCAACCCTTCGTGTCCAAGCTTGGGCTCCTGTCCGTTATTACACAGGAGAAGTTTATCCTGTTCTGCAGAAGCAGGGGTAGGTGCTAAACTGTTTATTTTTTTCTGTTCCATATCGAACAGGCCCTAAACCCTTCCAAACCTCTAGGTTGTTTTTTCATACTTGTATTGTTTATGCAGGGTTATCCGCATAGCTCCATTTGCTAATAGATTAGCAATGAATGTCCCACCTCCTATTCAGCATTTGAGATGCCTCGCTAATTATGAAGCATTGAAATTCTCTTCTGCCATATCAAATTTGGCAAATAAACTAGTCGAACGAATGACTGAAATGAGTTCAAGGACCGGTGGAAAGTACGTTGCAGTCCACCTCCGTTTTGAGGAGGTAATACAGCTTGTTTCCATAAACTGTTAAAGTTTTTGTCTATCTTATGCGTAATGGTCATGAAACTAATCATGTTATCAACTGTTTTTCATCTTGCAGGACATGGTGGCATTCTCGTGCTGTTTGTATGATGGAGGAGAGGCTGAAAATGTCGCAATGAATTCAATTCGACAAAAAGGATGGGGAGAGAAGTTCAAGAGAAAAGGCCGCGTAACTCTACCTGGTCTCAACAGGATTGATGGAAAATGCCCACTTACCCCCTTGGAGGTACTGTACTCAATTCCGCATGCATCTTCTACTTGCTCATAGCTGCCTACCATGGAGAAATAATCCTTTTCTTTCTTGTTAGTGTAGGTTGGAATGATACTACGGGGTATGGGATTTGATAACAGCACTTCAATTTATTTAGCCTCTGGGAAAATATACTGGGCGGAGAAACATTTGGCTCCTCTGCTCAAGTTGTTTCCCTATCTGCATACCAAGGAGTCTCTTGCAACCCCAGATGAGCTTGCTCCTTTTGAGGTGTCTTACTAGTTTTCATGCAATGTCCGCCCACAAAATTATTTTGATACTAGTGAAACACGTTACTTTGAAATCTACCGCTCTAAAATTTTATCTACTTTTGCTAGGGTTATTCTTCAAGATTGGCAGCTTTGGATTATACAGTATGCTTGTTTAGTGAGATTTTTGTAACAACACAAGGTGGGAACTTCCCACATTTTCTAATGGGTCATCGGAGATTCCTCTATGGTGGGCATTCCAAGACTATTATACCTGATAAGCGCAAGCTTGTTGTTCTACTGCAGAACATGAGTATGAGGTATCTGTCGGTTTAGTTTTTGTAATATAAAAAAGTTTCTGCTTGGAATAACCCGATTTGAAGATTTCTAGTTTATAAACGCTGACATTAGGCTTACGTGAAAACTATTGGTTTTGCAGTTGGAAAGATTTCAAACTTGAGATGGAAGCAATGCTCACAGAAAGTGACCGCAAGGGAAAGATAATACCGAGAGTGAAAAAGTTCACACGAAAATCTTCTGTATACACATACCCTTTGCCAGAGTGTAGTTGTCTCCAAAAGCACAACAACACTCAGATTGTACCATCTACACATTCTTGATTCTTTGTGACAAAGCTATGAGAAATGGAAAAACAAACGTGGTGCTTCAAAAGCATCTTCCACGAGTGCCATCATCAGTCATAAGCTTACATTGGGGGCTCTAGCCTCTTCCCTTCTGTGGACTTTGAAGAGAGGCTCGTTGCTCCGAAGCCTGTTGGGAAAATGTAGAAAGTATTTTCAGCAGCAGGTTTTCCAATTTTGATTTCCTCATCCCATGTGATTCATTCTTCCCCTTTTGTATGGAGGTGTTGGATCTCGTAGTTGGACAGAGCTGAAGTGCAAGCCTTCTCTGGCAATGTTGGGGCATTGCTCAACATTTGTCGCACATAGATTGATATAAAGCATATAAGTTTTCGGGTGGATATATCTAGCATATAAGGAACCTAGGGATTGACAGTTTGTTTTGCAGTTTGGTTCTTTCTTGTTGTCCAAGGCATTCCTGAGTACATAATGCTAATACTTTGTACTTGCAAGTTTTTGGCCATTGTATTGTATCGTTGTAACAATTTTGATATAGCAAAATTTTGATATGTGAAAAAACTTGAGCTCTGTTTGGATGCAGGAATTTGAAAGAAAGAACTTGAATTCGACAGCATGGCTTGTAGAATCCATTGGATTAACTGCTTCTTTAAAAAGCACTTTTGGAACGGTGATATGATGCAATGAATTTGGAATCACTTAATGAAACGAAGCATTTGAACCCCAATTGTCATCTTTTATTAAACAAATTTTGACGAACAAGTAATTTTGCCTTGTAATGTTATCTAAATCCCTAAATTTGAAACTCCATGCAAATGGGTGTGATGTGTAGCATTTGAGATAACTTGTTTTTAATGGGGCGTCGTTGTGTTTTGTGAAGCTAATTTTGTTGCTGATATTCTTGACAAGTTTGTTTGATCACTCTCTTCTGATCATGTTTGGATCAATGTAGTTCCTAATTGTAGAAAAAGGTCATTCACTGATATACTGTTTATACTGGATATTTTGGAGACTTCATGTTATTAAATTTTATGCTTTCAAAAAAAAGTTGCCATCCCTTAATTATGTGTTTATATGTACATAGAAGGGTGACTAAACACACAACTTCAATTAATGGTATACCTGATTAAAAATAGTGAGAAAAATTACTCTCTCAAATATTACATCACTATTTTTTTTCCATTAAAAATGGGACAAGCTGTTTGCTTTGGCAAGACAGTCGACCATTCCGAGGGTCAGGAAGACTCATAGAGGCATTTTAGTTTCTTCTTGACTACTATCATGTGATTCAGCAGCCTTAAGAATCACAAAAGAAAATACATCATTATTTACTTCCCAAAAATATTACATCATTATTTGGTTTTACGACATCTAATCTTCACTTTGTTCAACAAAGATGATTCCTAATAAACAATAAGGAAATACTTTTTTTTTCCCCCTGAAGTATAAGGAAATAAGGGTAGATATGACATTTGCAATTTAGCATATTGCTTGTGATTAAAAATAAAATAAAAATTATAATGTAAAAGATAATGTTCGAATGACTAAATTTCTAAATTAAATTTGGTAAATCAAATGATGTGAATACTGATTTCGTGCAACCCTCTAAAGCCCGTCGGCGGAGGTGGGTACTTAAACACGAGCACGTGTTAGAAGCCCACGTGATAACAATGAGTCGGGCCCATAAGAACAAACAAGTGGGGCCCAGTTTCGCGGTGGGTCTCACGTGTGTTTGTATTAGCGCGGCAAAACCCACGAGCTCGCATTCAATTCACCCATGGAACGCGCGTATTTGAACCGTATAGCCACCGCTTTCCGCCACTGTGGCGGCCGAGCTCAGAACAATCACAGCTGAGCATTTCACTACCAATTGATCAAGCTCGGCGTTTCGAATGACATTTTTCTTGCTTACAATCTGATCTCTATCCATGTGGCATTTCATATTTGGAAGACGCACGGAAGTTGTTTGATGAAATGCCTGAGAGGGACGTTGTGACATGGACCACGATGGTTTCTGTGTATACTAATTGCGTAAAACCTGATAAGGCTGTGGGATTGTACAACCGGATGTTGGGGTCTGAATCGGAGACGCCGAACGGGTTCTTGTACTCTGCGGTGCTCAAACCTTGTGGCTTGTTGGGCGACCTGAGAACGGGTAAATTGATCCTTGAGAGGATATGTGGCGAGAGATTGGAGTTTGACACTGTTTTGATGAATACCCCTTTGGATATGTACTTCAAATGTGGGAGTTTGATTGATGCTAGGAGAGTTTTCGATGACATATCGAGTAAAAACACGACTACGTGGCGCACTCTGGTTTCGGGTTTTACTGAGGCTGGTTTGATGGAAGAGGCAGTGAGTTTGTTTCATCAAATGAAAGAGCCGAGTGTTGTCTCTTGGAACAGCATAATTGCTGGTTTTGCAGATAATGGAAGTTCTCGCGCATTTGAATTCGTTTGTATAATGCACGGAGAAGGCCTCAAGTTAGATGGATTTACTTTCCCGTGTGCACTTGGTTGCAATGAATTGACTGAAGCTGTAGAACTGTTTGATCAGCATTCATGGTGCTATGCTTCCTGTTTGCCCCCTAAATTCGCCGTGCGCCTCCCGGGCATGCTGGGAATTTCAAACAAGAAATTGGTGGGTGCGAGCGTGTCACTACTAGTTGCCGCTAGTAGTCGGGATTTGAATGATTGAGATTGCGCTTGAGTTCAACCTTTAACCAAGAGATTGTGCCAGGAGTGCCTCAAATCAAGGTTCTTTCTTTGCCTTAAAGATAAGGACTTTACTTATATGGAGAAATGTAACAATATGTAAATGGCAAGTTTACTGGAAGGGTATATGATAGAGGAAGTAAATGAAGTTAAAGGCATTGTAGATTAATATAAATTGCTTGGAAATGTTAATGAATTGAAGTGCAGTGCAACTAAGTAAAGATTATTGAAAAGCAAGTTGATTCGTACAGCAGAAATGTAAATGAGAATACAAGGAAATCGATACTACTCAGAAGAATAGCAGAGCTTTAAAAGGAAATACAAGGCTTTTGTAGAAATGAAGTATTAAAAAGGGTGCATAGATTGAACCAAGTTGAATTGTTTGATTTATTGGTTGAGTGTCTATAATCCCTTTGCCTCTGCTTCTTTATATAGAGAACTGAGAGAGCCTCTTTGCTGAGGACAGTGAACTGTGGTGAGAAGCTTCATTGCCAACTTGCATATGAAATAATATTAAAAGAAGCAAGTTCGCTTTCCACCACATGTCTATTAATCCCACTTGCAATAAATTAATATTTAAAATAAGCAAGTTGACTTCTTTCACCACATGTCCATCTCTCAAGTCTACCAACATACTTACTTGCAATAAAGCCACCGCTTCAAACCATATGGTGAAACATTCCCACATGCAACTTTTAGTATATTTGCACACTAATCCCCCAAATGTCATATTTTGACTTTAAACCCAAATAAGTAAAATTGTGCATATTTTAGGAGCAAACACTTCCATTTCTGATAGTTTGGCACTTCGGAATTCTATCTTTCAGGATACGTCACTAACGAACGCAATAGCGCAGCTTTGGATTTAGTTTTGAAAATACATTGCTCAGGTACTTGCATGGATTCCTACACTTTTAGTGGTGCTTTAAAGGCTTGTGTCAACTTACTCCACTTGAGACTTGGGCGTCAAAGTGCACGGCTTGGTTGTACCCACAGGGTATGCGTTAGATCATATTGTTGGAAGCATTCTTATAGACATGTATGCAAGACTGGGCAACAATAATAATGCGTTGGGATTGTTTCAAGGGCTTCCAAAGAAAGACGCCTTAGCTTGGTCTGGTTTGATCATAGAGTGTGCGACAACGGGACGAAGCTGGCTTGCCTTTTCGCTGTTTCAGGATATGGTGTATTTGGGTCTCAAAGTAGATCAATTTGTCATTTCGTTTATTCTGAAAGTTTGCTCCAGATTTACTTCTCTTGGAAGCGGAAAACAGGTTCATGCTTTGTGTGTTAAGAGTGGATAGGAATCTGAGGAAGTTGTAGTGACATCCCTGCTTGATTTGTACTCAAAATGTGGTTATTCTGTGGAAGAACGAGACACTGTGTGTTGGACTGGGATACTTGTGGGGTGTGGACAAAACAGAAGAGCAGACGAAGCAATTAGATTTTTCAAGCAGATGACAGGATCAGGATTGAAGCCAAACGAAATTACATATCTTGGTGTTCTATCTGTCTGCAGACATGCTGGACTTGTTGAAGAGCGCTGGCCATATTTGGTTCAATGAAAATTGAACATCGACTCAATCCTCGTTTAGAGCATTATTATTGCATGGTTGACATTCTTGGTCACGCTGGATGTGTTAAGGAGGCAGAGCAGTTGATTGCTGAGATGCCATTTGAGCCTGTCCCAATCATATGGAGATCATTGCTCGGGGCCTGTGGAACTCATAAATACACTTGACTTGTTAATACTATCGCAGAAAACATTCTCGCTACTTTACCAGAAGACCCTTCCACGTATGTGACACTTTCGAATGTATAGCAGAATTGGGAATGTGGGAAAGTTAAGCAAAGTTCGAATGAGTTGGATTGAGATTTCGAGTTAAGAAACACTGCATTAGAAATTGCATTGTTCAGAAATTAAGTCCGTCCGCATCATTGTTTCTGATAAACTATAAAGCAGATACTATTTGGGCTCCGAATTCAGCCAGTCGATTCAATTAGATTCTCAAAGAAAATGAAAGAAACATACTAAATAATTTACTTCCGTAGCTAATTATGCTTTGCATTTTGTACTTTTTCTGTCACTGTCTGTCATATTTGCGATCCCTATTCATTGTTGTTTACTTCAACATGTGCAGATTTTGATAGAGCAAATTGTGTCACCTAAATTCATGGTTGCTCAAAAAGTTCTCGGTATGTAACATTCACTTGTGATATTCATACTGGTGATCAGCTGGCAAAACTTGATGTGCCTCCACCATTAAATCTGACTCTTTGAAGGTTATCCGTGTTCCTGAAGTTATGCGTATCACTTGTAATACAAATGCTATCCTTGTTTTAGTTATCCTGGATGTATGATGTTACCTTCATTTCTGTATTACTCGTAATCAGTTCCCCATCTTGTTCGTATGTTTCGTTTCATCTGCGTAATACGATTTTCAGAAACACAGCGAGGTACATGTTCTATTGTTGAAAATGCATTTATCTAAATTGGATTATGTGTTGACAGGTAGTTAAGGGAAAGAATTCAAAGCTAAAAGATCCATGCCCATCGAGGTTGGTGTTCACCTAATAAGAAGTGAATTATCGTTTATGTACCATTCCACCGAAGTTTGAATCCTCATCCCCGTAGATCAAAGTAGTTTAAAATATAAATCGTTTGTGAGTAAATAGATGTGAATATATATGTAATGCCCGAATGATGTTTTTGTTTTGTGACAGAAGGGGAAAGAAAGGAATCCAGTTGAGGTGATGAGTTGTCAATTCTGCATTTGCTGTTGCATTGCATGTGATGTGCGCCAATTGTTGCCATCTTTCAGTCAAACAGCAAAGAAGGATTGCAGCATTGAAAGGAAAGGTAGCCTCGTGAGTCATCGGAGGCTTTAACTGCAAGTTATTGCTCTCAACCAAATCCAGGAGGCTGCATCTCTCCGTCAGGTTAAAAGATAAGCTGGTCCAAGCTGCTAATTAAACGCGGTACGCTGGTCCAACCCATTTGAGCCTGACCCAACACAATTCAGCGACAATGTAGGAACATGGATGCCCTACCTCCACCTTTCGTCAGTGATGGGTGAGTGTCGAATGCAGAGACAGAGAGGTCTTTGCTTTGTAAGGCGTCAACCGTGCAGAGCAATGCCAGCAGAGAAAACTCAACTCATTGACATTGCCACTGCCACGTTGCTTTCTTCTTCTTCAATGATTACCAGTTGGCTTTGGCTATATATGTCCCCCCATAAAGTATTAAAGTGAGAGTCAGGAGTGAGGCATGCCCTTGGCTTTATTCTTTCTTTTCAGTTTCCAGTTTTTACTGTTAGCAATGAAGCTAAAGTAACAGCACAAAAGCTTCACAGAAAATTACCTGGAAAAATTTACATTATCATTTTGTGCCTTTCACTTTTGGGCCCCAAGTTGATTCATTCCAAGTGGTTTAGTAAAGTAACACCATAAAATGGCATGTATCCTGTCATGTTTCTCATGGACTTAATAATGTTGTTGGGCGAAGAAGCATCAACACGTACAAAAAATAGGTGTAGCGAAGATGAGAATGCTTCGTTGGATGTGTGGGCACACGAGAAAGGACAAGATTAGGAACGAGAATATTCAAGGTTAATTAGGAGTAGCCGAAATTGAAGATAAGATGAGAGAATATCGGTAAAGGCGGTTTGGACATATGAAACGAAGACCTATACAGCTCTGGTTAGAAGATGTGATTACGAGATAGAGACTCAAGGCCAAGGGGGTAGATGAAGGCCTCTAAGAAAAGACTTTGACTACTTGGATCTAACAGAAGATGTGACACAAGATCGAGCGCAGTGGCGTTGTAGGATTCATATAGCCGATCCCATTTAGTGGGATAAAGCTTTGTTGTTGTTGTTCTTGTTGTATTAAAATATGAGTTTGGTAATTGTTCAAATTCCAGACTTCTCATATGTTTACTACTACAGAAACAAATAATTTGTTTTTTTTTTTTGAGAATCCGTAATCCGAAACCAAAAAAAATCAGGAATAAAAGTGAACTTGGTGGGACTTCTTGCCCTGCGACTTCATCTTTAACTTTGGGTATGTAAGGTTCTGTTGTGCTTGGAGTTGTATTGTGATTTTCTTCTCTTAGAAAAAGATTCGAATATAAGGGTAAATGAATTGAAATGAAGAAAGACGAGGAAGGACGGTGGGAAGGATGTGGAAGAAATGTAGTAGAAATATGGGAGGGATCATGGAAACAAATTGACAAAAAATATTGAAGAAAAATGAGAGGGGGACAAAATTGAGCCACACCGTTTGCATACATCACATTAATATTTGTTAGAACCTTCTAATCAAACACCAAGAGAACTCCAAATCATAAGACAATGAGTACAAAACAAGAGTCAACAATTAGCAAAACTAGGGCGGGGACCACAAATCAAGAACCCCATGCCCTGCGCAACCTTCCATCCTCTATGGTTTGCTCGGTAAATCCAAGACCAGAAGACATGTAAATATGGCACAATTAGCAGGACAAGTGGATGTGTAATGTTATATTGCACCAAAATACATCCTAAAAATTTGGATATTATGAGTGATACGTTAGTATTTCTGTTCGGTTACATCTATTCTTTTCATTTCATACAAGTTATATTGGGGAGAGAGGAGTTGAACCTTCGACCGCAGATATAGAGTTAAATATTTTTAACCACTTGAGTTGCAAACGCCTTGCATATTTAATTTTATTTTAAAGCATGTTTCCTTCTAATGAATAAGAAATTTTCGTAGTTCTCAGAATCATTTGTATGAAAGAAAAAATTGTCAGTTAAATTATTGCAAGAGCGGAAACGAGAGTTCGTATAGGAGCGGTCTAATATTTTCTTACACTAATCTCGAGTTAAGATATATAGTCTAACTCTAATATTTGAGTGCTTTTTAATGTGAGAGGCTATGTGTTTGATGAAAATGTAAATGGAGTTTTTCTCTCACTTGACATGTTACAAGAGAAATAAAGAAAAAGAAAACGTACCTGTTGCATTTAAGTTTTCCTTTCAGTTTAGAGTTTGGGACCAATACGTTGAGAGAATATAGTTGAAAATACCATTTGATTAGGACAACTTTCATACTAAATAAGATTACGTAGAGTCAAATGAGATCATGATAGAGATTAGACATTAAAGCTTAGGGATTAGAGAAATGATAAGGAAACTATGTCAAAATAAGACTCTTCATGAACTTTTCGTCACCTCAGAATTTCATGTCAATTTTTGTGCCAATATTATAAAATATTATGTAAAAAATATGAGATAACAGATAGTCCATATAAAATCTCACTTTTAAAATAATCTTCTTAACATTTGTCGAGGGATTATTACAATGTGTTTTCTGGACTTGTAGTTTCTCAAGGACCTATATTTTACT